TAGTGAGTGTAGAAGAAAGGGGACATGCCACAGTGTTAGAGAGACCAACGTCTGCATTACCTAAACTAACTTTAATGTCAGCCAGTGCACACAAGTTTTGTTCCCATACATCCCTCTTAAAGGACCACTATAGTGCCAGGAAAACATACTATAGTGCCCGGAGGGTGCCCCCACCCTCAGGGTCCCCCTCCCGCCGGGCTCTGGGGAGAGGAAGGGGTTAAAATCTTACCCTTCTTCAGCGCCGGGCGGGGAGCTTTCCTCCTCCTCTCCTCCTTCCTAGCGACGTCATCGGCTGAATGCGCATGCGCGGCAGGAGCTGCGCGCGCATTCAGCCAGTTCATAGGAAAGCATTTACAATGATTTCCTATGGATGCTGGCGTCTTCTCACTGTGATTTTCACAGTGAGAAGCACGCAAGCGCCTCTAACGGCTGGATTAACCCTCAGTGTAAACATAGCAGTTTCTCTGAAACTGCTATGTTTATAAAAAAAAGGGTTAACCCTAGCTGGACCAGGCACCCAGACCACTTCATTAAGCTGAAGTGGTTTGGGTTCCTATAGTGGTCCTTTAAGCTTCCAAACTTAAAGGGACACTATAGTCACCAGAACAACTACAGCTTATTGTATTTGTTCTGGTAAGTAGAATCATTCCATTCAGGCTTTTTGCAGTAAACACTGTCCTTTCAGAGAAAATAACTCCACTGGCCGCTCCTTAGATGGCTGCTAGAGGTTCTCCTGGGGCAGTACTGCCTAGTGTGCAGCACTGCCATTCAGTGTCTCCACCCTCTGCATGCAGACAGTGAACTTTCCTCATAGAGATGCATTGATTCAATTTATCTTTATGAGGAGATGCTGATTGGCCAGGGCTTTGTTGGACTTGTGCTGGCTCTGCCCCTGATCTGCCTAGTTGACAGTCTTAGCCAATCCTATGGGGAAGTATTGCAATTTTCTCAGACCACCACTTCTGAGCCAGCAGCTGCAGATTTGAATACAAGTAATATTTTACTATATTTAGGGAGGCAAGAAGGGGCCAGGGTGGTGGTTTTAACATAATAGGGTCAGAAATACATGATTGTGTTCCTGACCTTATAGTGCTCATTTAAGCAAGAGTATGTGAAGAGTAGTTAGGGTTGCCACCTTTTTTAGAAAAAAATACCAGCCTTAATCATTTGTATAATTAATTAGTTATGCGTGACATCACATGATGTAAATCACAAGAAGTGGCATCAGAGAAAATTCTGTAAAATCACCAACAAACTACTCACAGTTTGATTCTGCTGTATAGATGGATTATTCCCAGTGTCTCCCTGTCTCCCAGTGTCTCAGTCTCGCAAGTCACCCAGTGTCTCAGTGTCCCTATGTATCACAGTGTCAGTGTCCCCATGTCGCCCAGTCCCCTAGTCTCCCAGTGTCTGTGTCCCCATTTCTCCCAGTGTCCCAGTGTGTCCCCATGTCACTAGGATACTGGGGACACTGAGAGACATGGGGACACTGAGAGACCCGTGGACACTGGGAGACATGGGGACACTGAGACATTTAGGGAAACTGGGAGAAATGGGGACATTGAGACACTAGGAACACAGACACTGGGAGACATGGGGACACTGAAACATTTGGGGACACTAAGACACTAGGGACACAGACATGGGAACACAGACACTGGGAGACTAGGGGATACTGGGATACTAGGGGACACTGGGAGACTAGGGGACACTTGCTGGGAGACAGACACTTGGGGACACTGGGAGACATGGGGACAGTTGTGGATATAGACATGTGGACATTGGGACATATAGGGACACTGGGAGACATGGGGACACCAGGCACACTGAGACACTAGGAACACAGACACTGGGAGACATGGAGACACTGAAACATTTGGGGACACTAAGGCACTAGGGACACAGACACTGGGAGACTAGGGGACACTGGGAGACTAGGGGATACTGGGAGACTAGGGGACACTGGCTGAGAGACAGACACTTGGGGAGACATGGGGACAGTTGTGGACATAGACATGGGGACACTGGGACACATGGGGACACTAGGCACACTGAGAGACATGGGACACAGACACTGGGAGACTTGGGGACACTGAGACACTAGGGACACTGGCTGGGGGACATAGTGTCTCCATGTCCCAATGTCTCCCAGTGTCTCTATGTCTCACAGCGTCCCCATGTGTCTCAGCATCCCCATGTGTCAGAGTGTCACCTAGTGTCTCAGTGTCCCCATGTTTTCCAGTGTCCCCAAGTGCCTCAGTGTCCCCAGGTCTCTCAGTGTCTGTGTCCCCATGTGTCCTAGTATCTCAGTGTCCCCTAGTGACAGTGTCCCCGTGTGTCCCCTAGTGTCTGTGTCCCCATATGTCCCCATGTGTCTCAGTGTCCCCATGTTTTCCAGTGTCCCCAAGTGTCTCAGTGTTCCCAGGTCTCCCAATGTCTGTGTCCTAGTGTCTCAGTGTCCCCTAGTGTATGTGTCATCATGTGTCCCCTAGTGTCTGTGTCCCCTAGTGTCTCAGTGTCCCCATATGTCCCCTAGTGTCTCAGTGTCCCCATGTGTCCCCTAATGTCTCAGTGTCCCTATGTGTCCCTGCTGCCTTTCCCCCATCCCTCACTTACCTGAGCTGTAGAGCTGTTGTCTGGACTCTCTGTGCTGTGTAGCTGCTCCCCCACGGATCAGTGAGTAGTAGAGAGAGGCAGGGATATTCTGTAACTTCCTATCCCTGCCTCTCTCCACACACAGTGACCCCTACTGGGCCTGGGCCTGGAGCTGCAGCACCATCAGCCCCTATGTTAATCCGGCCCTGAGTACAGAAAGATACCAGTAGCTACCCACTGGACCCCAGGGATGAGAATCAGCTACAGCTCCCTTTCAAGGTAAGAAAAAAAAATAATTAATAGGGTTTATTAGTAAAGTGAGAATTCAAAGTGAATGTCAGATTTAAACGGACTCTCCGGTGCCAGGAAAACATAGTTAATTTCGCTTGCTCATTTTTCCTGCTTCCACAACATGAAATTCATGAACTGACTATTCACTTGCTGCCTAATATATCCCATGCCATGACATGTGCCATTGTAACAATATAATCAATGTTAATCACTTTACCTGTCAGTGGATTTAATGTTGTGGCTGATCAATGTATGAGTGTATGTGTATATATTGTGTGTATATATGAATGTGAGTATATGCCTGTAATTTCCTCAACAAAAGGGTGTTTGTTTAAATTTCTTTCAGGGGTGCAGACTTTGAAAAAATAAAATAAACTCTACAGTTGTTGTAGGGGATGCTAAAATATATATCCAACCCGAATATATGATTTCTCTGGTTATATTACCCTCAAAGGTAATGTGATAGCTTGCACGCTAAATATACCATTACACGTATCATCCTTACCCATTCTTCTTGATTGCAAACTGCACACAGGCTTTTTTAAGGTTTGGGGTATTTACTAAGGCTTTACAAAGTTACATTAAAGCAGGATTATGGGTATGCTTTGTAATAGTCACAATAACCAAATAAGACTTTGACCACTCCTGGATCGATTTACAAACATTACTAAGATACATTTAGTGCCATGAAATTAAAGTGCAGTTATTTTGATAAAGACAAATAATAAAAAAGTATGATTTTGAAAATACGGTTACATCACAAGGTAAAGGACGCAAACTGCTTAATACATTTTTGGTACATCTACAATGATTAAATTTCGAATTTACCAAATTCTTCCAAAAATATATATTTTGGTTTCATTTCCTGACGAGTGAATTGTGGCATATTAACAAAAAAACTGAATTTCAGAATTTAGGCTAATCTAGACAAGGTTGTATTGAGCTGGTAATTCACATATATTATCAGCTAATTGGACCTAAAAGTTGCATTTTAGTTTTCAATTAAACATAAATCTCTGTTTAGGAAATAAATCCCTCAGAGTTGTTCAACTGGAGCTGTATAATGAGATTGTGTAAGCCCTGGAGTGTAGAAGGATTTAAATGTACAAAATTTCCGCAGCACTTACAACATGACCGAATCGTCATTGACCCTTTGGACTCCCTGTGTCAATTCTGCTTTTTTCAAAAAGATGAAATACTGATTTGCCAGAAAGGTCTGTTGTGATTAGAATGGCACGTTTCCTCAGTTTGTGACACTTAAATGTATAGTTTAAATGTATACAACTTAACAACGCTTTAATAATTTAAAGAGTGCACTTGTATATGTGCTTGTTATTATTTTATATATATTTTTTTTGCAGTGAAAGCTTTTTAGCAGGCTGCTGGTAAGTAATACATAGGGGGAGATTTATAAGTGTTACAAACGGAAATGGAATCCGGAGGAACATTCCGTGATCACCATAGTGACTTCTCCATTTGTTCTAGAACATTCTGTTTGCTTCTAAATCTCCCCAGCATTATAAATCTCTCCTACATTATGATTGGCTGTAACGACAACTGTAATTTGTTTATATTTGGAAAAAAACAAAAACTAACATGCAAATAATTGATTTAAATCATTTCAAAGCCAGTAAAATATGGATTTATCTGACAAGCAGTTTTGTGTTGTCAGTCTCTTTAGAAACTTTGCAGTTTTGAATATATGTTTTGTATAAACACAGTATTTGCAGAATATGTAGGCTCCACTGGTGATTTGAAATTTGCCACCGGTATTTTGATTACCCCTTGCAAGCAAACATGTCAGTTTATTTAAATAATATTATTTACTTATTTTGCGTTATTTCTTATTTATTTTTTAACATGTTTAATTGTGTGTTATTTTGTTTTATTTATATTGCAGGCTGCAATTTGCAAGTGTGATGTTATGGCAAATTTAAAGGTACTGTCCAAACACCACAACAATATTTAACCCTTGTGTAGGTGCTGGTAAAATGAGGTCCCATGTCCCTGTCTTCCTTCACACAGTTGCTTATTACATTGCAGTGATAAGCCCATCCCCTTCACTGAGCAACATCACAAAGGCAGCTAGTGTTTCCTCTTTGTCCGTCCAAGCTCTTGTACTTACTGAGTGTGCATGATTTCTAGTCTCTAACAACAGTAACAGGTTTCATTTAAGCATTTTAAAGGACCACTATAGTCCTTAGGTCCACCCCACCCTCAGGGACCCCCTCCAGCTGGGTTAAAATCCCTTCAGCCACTTACCTTAATCTAACGACGGGCTCCCTCAGTGCTGGTGACCTCTCCTCCCTCTCCGATGTCAGCTCCAGAGTGGAGCCGAAAGCGCATGCGCGACCAGAGCCATGCGCCCATTCAAACCGCCCATAGGAAAGCATTACTCAATGCTTTCGCATTGAGCATCGTGGAAGCGCCTCTAGCGGCTGTCAGGAAGACAGCCACTAGAGGCTGGATTAACCCTGCAATGTAAACATAGCAATCTCTGTGAAACAGCTGTGTTTACAGTTGCAGGGTTAAAACCTGGGGGACCTGGCACCCAGACCACTTCATTGAACTGAAGTGATCTGGGTGACTATAGTGGTCCTTTAAGAATCTTCACCACAGCTTTGCAACTGATTGCTTCCCCTACAAAACTGTAAATGTAGCTGTAATAATATTGAAAGATGCCGTTCAGTTGCTATCAGCCTTTTCATTTTTTTTTTGGGCAGCTTTTTCATTTATCCTATCTGATGAGGAAATTGCTGACAAGAGAACGATCTCTGATATTTACGAGTTCATGGGATATTTTCAGCTTCCAGTGAAAATAATGAGAGCATTAGTAATGCGTTACTTACTGGTTTCATGAGAGCTCACAGTCTGAATGCTCCTTTATCTTGTTTTCAACACGTGTAGAGGTTAATGCCGTAATTACAATAGAATATGAAAGACAATATAAAACCTTTAAAAGGACTGTCTAAACTTTTAACTGCAGTACACTGCAGCGTACTGAGAATACAGTATGCAAGAATCACATTTATCTGGGAACTTTTCAATTCCAATTGGCTAGAGAATTCCTCCTAAAGAGACAATGCAGTAATTCGCAATCACTTAAGTGGATGGATCTGGCAATCATCACCACACTCCCTGATCTGAAGCTGAGTTTTGTTACCAAAAGCCCAAATGCCATACCCAAGGCACGCTTTTAAAGCTCCTACTTTTCATTGTGAATTGATAGAAAAAAGCATATCATGTTTTACGAGCTAAACCTATGGGTTCAGCCCTTGTGGACTCCTAATTCCAACATGCACAATAATGTGTAGGCAGTCAGTGATTTTTATCATTAAGTAGATGATGAGCGACCCGAAACATACACAAAGAAGTGCTTTAGGGACTTAATGAGGGGGAAATAATATTCAGGGATATTATTTTTTATTTGTGGGTAATAGCTTCTTGGTACAAGAAGATATCTAGGTCGAGAAGGAATTTTTTCCTTAGTTTGTTGCAAAATTGGTTTCAAACTGTTTTTTTGCCTTCTTTTGGATCAACTGCAAAAACAAATGTAAGAAAGGCTGAACTTGATGGACGCAAGTCTCTTTTCAGCCCATGAAACTATAAAAGGAAGAGCAGACCAGGCACAACATTATGTACAATGTACAGCGCTAAAGCACTACAGTATACACAGCCACATCTTATACAGCATGACCATCAACAAGGCAAGGGGCATTTCTATTCATTGTGTTCGCATGTCGAGGTAACATCCCCAGGACATACTTGAAAACCAGAGTAATCTGAATGTACCTTTCCTGGTTAAATACTTTAAAGAGCATTGTGGGAGATGTAGTCCACAACATCTGGAGTGCCGAAGGTTGCCTACCCCTGTAGGGTATCATAGTCATCACTGGGATGTGAGCGCATTTATACTTTTTATAACAAGATAAATCATCACATCCCAGACTCTCGGCACAATAAACGATGCAGTTATTACGATTCCTCACACCTAAAAACATACAAGTGGATATTTTATCTGCTCCTCAGTTATATTCTTATCAGTTTGCCTCTAGACTGCGAAACAGACAATGGAAAGTTTGGCTGGGGACATTCTGGACTTCAAGTTACTCTTAATGAGAAATAGGCAGATGCCTTTGGTGCTTAGAGGCCTTCTTCTGTTACTGAAACAAATCATGGCTTGCTTTACTACAGTTTACTCTACAGGTTGAGCAACGTTTCACTGAGAAACAATATTTGAATAGTTACCGTTCTCACTGACTCGGTGAATGAACACATTATCAGACGGCTATTGAAGGTGAATTTGCATCTGTAGCAGGGCCAGTGCAAGGATTTTTGCCGCCCTAGGCAAAAGTAAAGTTTGCCTCCCCTCCCCCCCCTTCGTGACATCACAATGCCCCACCCATATGACCTGCCATGTTAACTAACGCTAGTGCTGCAGTGCCGCTGTGTTTACATTAAAAGGCCTGCAGGGACAGGCTATAGACACCAGGACCACTACATTAAGCTGCAGTGGTTCTGGGGACTATAGTGTTTCTTTAATGTGAGGTAAATTAGAGATTAGTGCCACGAATAATATACTAGATTACCTACTTACAAGCAGATGAGGATGATGATGGGCTCTAGCTGCAGTCTGGCTCCACTGGTCTGGTGTATAACAGGATCTCTGGAGGCTGTTTGTAACTGTGGTCACAAAAATCAATGTTCTGGGAGAACGAGAAGCAGCTCCATTTTTTGGGGGCCCTTTACACAGCTCAAGGTCTGGGTCCCAGGGTCCACCTTCATGTTCCACCAATGAGTTTGTTCACAGGGGGTGGAGTGTGTAGGGGATGTCCTGATTTGTGTGTAAGGAATGCATTGTGTGAATCTGTGTTTGTATGTGTAAGGGCTGCAAGGTGTGTTTCTGTGTATGTAAGGGATGAAGTGTGTGAGTCTGTAAGGGGTGCATTGAGTGTGTGTAAGGGGTGCTTTGAGTGTGTTTAAGGGGTGCATTGAGTGTGTGTAAGGAATGCATTGTGTGTTTCTGTGTGTGTAAGGGTTGCATTGTGTGTGTGTGTGTGTGTATGTAATGCATTGTGTGTGTAATGCATTGTGTGTTTTTCTGTGTGCAAGGGGTTCATTGTCTTTGTGTGTAAGGGGTGCATTGTGTGTGATTGTGTGTGTGTGTGTGATGGATGTCAATCTCTCCCCCCTCCCTTGTCACTCTCTTCTCCCCCCCTCCCTTGTTACTCTCATTCCCCCTCCCTTGTTACTCTCATTCCCCCTCCCTCCCCTGTCACTCCCCCCTCCCTGTCAATTTCTCTCTCCCCGTCAATTCCCCTCCCTGTCAATGTCTCCCCCCTCCCTGTTAGTTCCCCCCCTGTTAGTTTCTTCCCCCCACCTCCCTGTTAGTTTCTTTCCCCCCTCCTCCCTGTTAGTTTCTTTCTCCCCCCTCCCGTCAGTTTATTTCTTCCCCCCTCCCCTCCCTGTTTCTTTCTTCCCCCTCCTTCCCTGTTTCCTTCTCCCCCTCCCTCCCTACCTGTTTCCTTCTCCCCCCTCCCTCCCTACCTGTTTCCTTCTCCCCCCTCCCTCCCTCTTTCTTCCCCCTCCCTCCCTGTTTCTTCCCCCCTCCCTCTCTGTTTCTTTCTTCCCCCTCCTGTTTCGGCTTCCCCTCCCTCCTCTTTCTCCCCCTCCCTCCCTCTTTCTTCCCCCCTCCCTCCTCCTGTTTCTTCTCCCCCCTCCTCCCTCCTGTTTCCTTCTCCCCCTCCCTCCCTCCTGTTTCAGCCTCCCCCCTCCCTCCCTCCTGTTTCCTTCTCCCCTCCTCCCTCTCTGTTTCTTTCTTCTCCCCCCCATCCCACTCCTGTTTCCTTCTCCCCCCCTCCCTCTCTGTTTGTTTCTTCTCCCCCCTCCTCCTCTCTGTTTGTTTTGTTTCTCCCCCCTCCCACTCCCTCTGTTTTCTTTCTTCTCCCCCTCCTCCCTCTCTGTTTCTTTCTTCACCCCCTCACTCCCTGTTTCGCTGCCACGGCTCCTCCCTCTCTGTTTCTTTCTTCTCCCCCTCCCTCCCTCCTGTTTCCTTCTCCCCCCCCTCCCTCTGTTTGTTTCTTCTCCCCCCTCCTCCCTCTCACCAGCCATCTTTCTTCACCCCCCCTCCCTCCCTCTCTGTTTGTTTCTTCTCCCCCCTCCCTTCCTCTCTGTTTCTTTCTTCTCTCCTCCCCCCTACCTGTGTAGTAGCGTGGCCGAGCCTAGTCTAGTCCGCGGGTACAGGGAGCTGTTGTTTCCTGTACCCGGCCGGACTAACAGGAAGTGAACACTCAGTGTTCACTTCCTGTTAGTCCGGCCGGGTACAGGAGACAGCTGCTCCCTGTACCGGTCGGACCATGCCATACAGGGCTCGGCCACGCTACAGTGAGGGAGCTGACAGGAGGGAGCGCTGAGCGTTTCCCTCCTGTCAGCCTCTCCTCAGGCTGCGCCCGGACGGTGCTGTCCGCCCTCATGGACGCACCGCCCGGGAAAAGCTGCAGCCGCCTGAGGCTCTTTACAGAGCGCTCGGGCGGCTGCAGCATGAGCGGGGCCGGCGCTCCTGGCCGCCTAACAGGTAGCGCCGGCCCTGATCTGTAGAGACATGTAAACCTGCTCACAGTAATTCTTGTAATGGCTGTGCGCAGTATTCAGCCTAACTTTCCATTCTGCACAGCCTTGAAACATGTGTTCGTCTCTAAGATACCATAACTACTACCCAGGCCATTGCAAGCCATAGCATACCCTCCAGGGATGAATTTCAACCCATCAGTGATACATTTATACTTGTTTATGGATAGTGGACCTGTTCCTGCTGTCCCCAGATGCGGTACACCAGGGAACTAAAGCGAGAAGACAGGACTTTAAAAGCAGGTCTCTTGGGCGGCCTCACACAGTATGGTCATATGATATGCCACAATTCTCATATTTATTTGCCAAGATGGGTGACTTGTAGCCTTGTAATATTTTAAACAGTATATTTTGTTGGTCTTCACCCTAATACCATTTTTCTATGACTTTTTTCTGTCTGAGGTCAAGGGGAGTTGTAGTGACAGGATTTTGTGTAACTGTCTTTTAAAGAAAGCACCACAGTTCACAGTGGAGATTTGCGATTCTTGCTGTAATTTTTGTTACGTACATTTAGCAGTCTTTATAAAGTGAAGTTTGTTTTTGTCAGTCTGTCCTTTGACGTGATCTAATTGTTGGCGGCTAGCCTTTACATCCTCAGCGTCCGTCTATTCCTCCTAGAATCTCTTGTGTCCTCTATTCTGCTGTCTGCAAATATTTGTGTTCCTTTGCCTGATGTACCTCCTGCTGATGGAGCAGCTTCTAGTATTGATCCTTAGATTTTCTGAGCAAGAAGGAACAGCACAACAAATTCTGGCAAATAATCTTTGGCTAACAAATATTATGGCAAATGGCCCGTTTGAACCAGAAACTCTTATGCAGGCAGGATAAGGGGTGCATTGATCTATATCTTCAGTAAGAACTTTATCGATTGACTGCGAAATACACAGCAATGTCAGGTTTGTTCACGGCACCGACAATAAACTGGTACAACGTTGGAGTTGTATTTTAAAGGGGCATTGCCACATTTTAGTTTATTTTGTTGGTTTTTTTTAACTGAAAGTTACCTATGATTTGTGATTTTATTTTTTCATTCTAATTTTTTTTTAAAACTTTTAAATATTTGTTATTTCTGTTGTAAGTCAGACTATCTTCTTGCATGAACATGCCCTGAACACGGAAGTGATGCAGAGGTATGTGCATTTTATACCTACCTCTGGAGCGCTAAACTACTTCAAGGTGCATACATTTCCTGCATGAATTACAAGATGGGACAATGTAACAAAATAATACATTTTAAATTCTAATTTGTAAATGCAAAATTTGAATTAGAAATACAGATGCTTAAATTACACTTGCTGGGGAAGCTGAACTGATGCTAAATGTGAAAGCAAAATGTGCCAGGCTCAAAATGTCACGTCTTCAGCTACTAGTCAGACCTCAAATCTTCTTGCCACCTCAAAACGCAACCGGACAACACTAAACTAGTGTGTATATAAATTCAAAGGTGTTTGTAGGGGATTTATATATATTTTTTCATTCTTTATTTAATTTCAGACAGTAGGGGATACATAGTATAAAGACGATTGAGATGCGTTTATAACACCATCAGAGTATACAATATGCATTCACAAAGCAATAACAAGTAGTGTACATTGGAGAGCCAAATCCAGAGGAGATTTTTTTCTTAGTGACATCAGAGTTTGAATTCAGCGAGAGCAAAATAATAAAAATGGCTTCAGCACATAGGTGTAAAATAGTTTAGTAACTGAGTTGTTAAGCACCATGCATCAATTAACATCAGACTAACCAGCTTATAATTAAATCTTATAGACCTCTTTTCCTCCCAGCAGTTGATCAGTGTTAATTCTGGCGGTAAATTTCAATTCAGTTTTAGTCGTGGTTTTATAACTAAAAAGCCATTTTCATTTTAGTTGTATTTTAGTCATCTGAATAGTTTTAGTCTTATTTTATTCGACTAAAATCTGACTAAAATGATTAATCAACAAAATTAACGTTGCAATTGATGTGCAAAATAAAATAAGCTAAAATAAGCTAGGAAAAAAATGAAAGGAAAAGCCCTCTGCAATTAAATCTAATAAAAATGCAAAGTTCAGTCCATAGTTATAATAACATAGGGGGCATACAGAGGGACGTGCTAAAGGGACTAGCCCCATTTCAGACTGCAAGGGCCCCTTACTCCTATATACGCCAACTGTCGTTAAAGTATTATACCTGCCTCATCTAGGGATAAAGAGAGAAATAGTTAGGTTCTCCAAAATCTCAATATAAAAATGTTTTTTTTTTTCATGGATTTCAGGATAAAACTTACCAGGAAAGGTTAAAGGATCTTAACATGTATAGCTTGGAGGAAAGACGAGACAGGGGGGATATGATAGAAACATTTAAATACATAAAGGGAATCAACACAGTTTGGAGGAGACTATATTTAAAAGAAGAAAAACTACCACAACAAAAGGACATAGTCTTAAATTAGAGGGACAAAGGTTTAAAAATAATATCAGGAAGTATTACTTTACTGACAGGGTAGTGGATGCATGGAATAGCCTTCCAGCTGAAGTGGTAGAGGTTAACACAGTAAAGGATGAGACTATATTTAAAAGAAGAAAAACTTCCACAACAAGAGGACATAGTCTTAAATTAGAGGGGTAAAGGTTTAAAATAATATCAGGAAGTATTACTTTACTGAGAGGGTAGTGGATGCATGGAATAGCCTTCCAGCTGAAGTGGTAGAGGTTAACACAGTAAAGGAGTTTAAGCATGCGTGGGATAGGCATAAGGCTATCCTAACTATAAGATAAGGCTAGGGACTAATGAAAGTATTTAGAAAATTGGGCAGACTGGATGGGCCGAATGGTTCTTATCTGCCGTCACATTCTATGTTTCTATGTTCTTTATTTAAAACTGCTCTGTAATTTTTTTTAACAGGCTTTACCAAAATCACTCAGTTTTTTTTTAAATGACGCTTATTTGCAAAATTATACAAAACGAAAAAAAACAAACCAGAGGACTACTTTTCGTTATGTATAACCTGCAGGTTAACAACATTTATCAAACGGCGGAGCTTTAGTTTATCTCCCTGTCCTTTGTTACAGGGAATCTTTAGTTAGGAATACAAAGTTGTGTTCTAAATACTATAGTGCCCTTTGGTCCCCCCCTCGCAGCACTCCCGGCACATAAAGGGTAACAAATCTTTAATCACTTACCTGATTCAAGCGCCGATATCCCTGGACTCTGGGTCGCGGATCGCCTCCTCCGACGTTCACACATTAGGTCTCCCCAATAGGAAAACATTGCTTCTCTGATTTACTATGGGGATTTCTCTGTCTAGTAAGACAGGGTTAGGGGGTTTGAGAGACAGGGTTAGGAGGCTAGAGAGACAGGGTTAGGAGGGCTAGTAAGACAAGGTTAGGGGGTTAGAGAGACAAGGTTAGGGGGTTAAAGGGACAGGGTTAGGAGGTTAGAGGGTTAGTGTGACAGAGTGAGAGGAAAACACACAGACTTAAAATGCATTTAATATATTTTGCTTTACCCCCCTTCTGCTTACCTTCTGTGCAGGCAGGGGAGGCAATAATTAATTTCATGGTGGTCCAGTGTGATGCTGATTCGCTCCCTGGTGGTCCAGTGTGCTGCTAGTGAACGCCCTGGTGGTCCAGTGTGCCGCTGGGGCTTCCGCACTCCCTTGCGGTTCCGGCGTACTGTGATGATGTCAGAGCGTAGGCTGGGAACCTGGAGTCTGTGCTGTGACACTCGCAATATGCCAGAACCGCGTGGGAGTGCTGAAGCCCCAGCAGCACACTTCACCAGCAGAGAGTTCACTAGCAGCACACTGGACCACCAGGCTGATCTTGCTGCTGGCTCAAGGAAGAGGGCTCGATCAGAGCCTGCAGGACTACTAACGGGATCGGCGTTCCTGCTGTGGAAAAAGTGCAGCAAAGCCGTTCCCATGTGTTTCTGCAGGACTCGAGCCCTGTTTTTTGTTTCTGGATAAAAAAAATCATGACTCTCTTACTTGTACTTATTTCTAGCAGAAAAAAAAAACATATTTATTACATAATATTTGATTCAATTAATTTGAATTGTGTTTAGACGAAAATTGTAAATTTCCTCTGGATACACATCCCAACGCACTGTGTATCTCTGACAGCTGTGCTGAAGACTTTTTTCAAAGCAGCTATCAAAGCTTGAATTTTGCACTTTCTAATTTTATTTTGCTACAAACCTACATCTAGCGGATAAACGTCTATATGACTTCAGCTACCGAAACTTAATTTCTGAAAATGTACAAAAGCATTGCACCAGACACTATCAAGTAAATTTCAAATTCAATGTAAAAGAGACAAACAGGAAAAATTATCTATGCTTCCAGTTTGACTTCTTTAGCCTTACATTTTTTTTTATTTTTATTTCTTTATTTTTTCAGTTTGACAAGAGTAGCACTATAACATTCCCAACATGGCTTATGCAAAAGCCCATTAATTTTTAGCCTTACATTTTAAATTCACTTTGACTTTTCACTTTAGTTAAGGAACACTATGGTCACCATAACAACTTCATTTTAATGAAATTGTCATGGTGCTAGGGGGCAATCGAGAGGTCTCTTATCTTAAGGGGTTAAACAGTTCTCAAACCGTTTAACCCTGCGGCCGACCTGGAGATCCGGTGTTGTAGGCAGCCACTGGGGTTAAACTGTTTGAGAATGGCACCATAACAACCTCCTGGCACCATAACAACTTATTTTAGCTGTAGTGTTCCTCTAATTACCCTTTTGATGTAGTAGCTAACCAGCATACTGCTTCTAACTGTGTAAAAAAGTTAGGGGACGAGGCAGTAGTTTGGCTAGGGTATATATATAACATGTCTTCCATAAGCAGGGGTAGGCAGTATTTGGTACTCCAGATGTTGCGGACTACGTTTTCTCTACACCATCTGCAGTGCCAAAGGTTGCCTGCTCCTGATATAGACCAGTGGGACGAATGAGAAGAGATTTGCTAGTTTTTAGTACATAAAAAGTTTTGTTCTTGTAAAGGTTTTTTTTTTATAGACTTGAACAACATTTGAACTCTGCACATTCTGACTTTTTTTTTTGTGGAGATAAAGTGCATTTTGTTGCTCTTGCTAAATTTATCACTAGTTTACGCTTGCGTTCCCCTCTGCCAAGTGTAAAAGGAAAAGTGGAGCTATAACGCAGTGATGAAGCTTGTCCAGGTAATAGAATCTAGCGCAGCGCTGTAACTCACTCAGACTCCCACATGTAATTGACCTGTACCCTGTGATTAATAGAATAATGAAAATCAGATCCATTTTATTACTTTAAAGCAGCTGATTGCAGATCTATTTAAACAGGACTGAGTTTGAAACAGCTCTGCCGTCAGATCAATGACAAAAATAAAGAAGAAAACAAAAGACTAACATTTAACTTGTACTCATCACGTACACACCTTTCAGCGCGATTACATTGTGTGTGATTTTTCTTTTAAACATGATAGTTTGTCAATGACTGGTTCACTTTAATTTTAAGTAATATCTCCTTAATAAAACAAAAACTAGTTTATCATAGAGATAAATTATATGTGTCATAACATAGATATGTAGGGAATATTTATTTAGCACTTACCTCCTCCCCAGTAAATCTAATAAAATATAAAAATAAATCCAGGTCTTCTATTTAAAAATGTCCATATAATCTTATAAAAACAGCCTCTTTAGGCAGAGAATTCCATATTTATCTTTATTGTTCTTATTGTAAAGAATCCTTTCCCCAGCTGTATGTGAAATCACCTTTTTCCAAGTCTCAAAGGATGACCTCTTACACTTTAGTTAGTACTAGCCCGGATATATTTATATAAAGTTATCATGTCCCTGCTGAAACACATTTTAGAAAGGCTGAGCTTGATGGACGCATGTCTCTTTTCAGCTAAGTAACTATGTAACATTTTTGTTGAGTAAACAAATGCATTTTTTTCGAGAATTTCTTTATAACTGAAATCTTCCATTGTCCTTATTAATTTTGTATCCCCCATTCTACCCTCTTCCAGTTGCATAATATCCTTCTTTAAAATCAGTTGGCTGCCAATCCTCTGAGTGACACAAAAAGATTCAAGAAAAGATCTTTCATGATGACTCATCACGTGCCATATGGTGCCAGCAGCCTGTGACCCCCATACTCCCCTTTACCCCATTTCAGAATTTTTGTGAGTGTGTATCTCTCTTTTTGGAATGCAATATTGTGAAGTTATCGGCATTGAACATTAAAACATAATTATAATGTATGATATATTGTCTAGCTTTGAATAGTAATTGCAAGTTGGAAAGCCATGCCTCTTCGGCTTCATCAAGAAACATTGTCTCCAAAACTGTCAAGCTCAGCATTCAAGAAACTGGCACGAAAGACAGATTTTAATGGCTTTGTACAAAAATAACTGGAATGACTCAGTCAAACTAGGTTATTCAGTAAAATTCCAGATGATGTCTTAGTATGTAATGAAAAAAAAGCATACAGAAGTTTACAGAGATTCTTGTTGATTGTTTGGTTAGTGTATTACAGTGGACCTTAATTGAGCCCCAGGCCACTTCAGTGATTTAAATATAAGAGACATCTTCATCTTGAGAAGAACCCTGTGAATTGCCCTTGATAACTTGTTACCAGTAGCAGCAGTGTATTCCTAATTGCAACAGAAACCCTTCTGAAACGGGTAAGAGTCTAAAACCTACTTATCCTCACTAATACGCAAATATGTCCCGTCTGGGCCCCTACACTCTGCCAAAGACCTACGTCTAACCTCTGTTCGTACTCCTACCTCTAATGCTCACCTTAAAGACTTCTCAATGGCTGCAGCGTTCCTATGGAACGCCCTTCCCCTCTCTGTTAGATTTTCACCCAGTCTCCACTCCTTCAAAAACTTTTTTAAAAACTTACTTCTTTAGGAAAGCATATCAATTAAACTGTGAACAGCTTTTTCTCCCCCGCACCCGGATTCTCTTGAAACTGTCATCAAAACACTAAGCTCTCGGTGAACACTATCCTAGCAACATACTTTTTTAACTTACCCTTATCTTTTGTATCACAATACTCCACTCCCTCTAGCATGTAAGCTCATTGAGCAGGGCCCTCAATCCCTCTGTTCCAGTGCGTCCACTTGTCTGGTTACAAATACGTGTCTGTTAGTCCACCCATTGTACAGCGCTACGGAACTTGTTGGTGCTTTATAAATAATAATAATAAAGAAGCTTTTTTGCAGAATTCATGTTAGATACATCTTATTGTTAGTGAAGAGTGGTTCATGAAGCTAAATTCAGAATTGAAGAACAGTTTGCCAAGTTTATTCCATGTACATATTGTGAGTTAATGTTAAAAACAGTTAGTTGAAAGTCTTAAATGAGGAAATGCCTTTAGTGGCTTTCTGAATGACTGATGGATTGTGTGACTGACATCCACAAGAGACATTGTGGCTGACAAATGTAAAACATCACTGTATCCCACAAAGGGCATTATTTACGTTTATCAGACTGCAGGGACAAGGCCCTTTCAGCAAAACCATTACATTACCATGTAATGGTTTTGGTACTTAGAGTGTCCCTTTAAATACATCAGTCCATGTTGTTTCAGTATCCCTGCTGGTACATAATTAGCAATTGAGTAACTATTTGCTGGTGTGCTTTTCGAACTCAGTTAGGAACATCTTATGGAGCTCAAATATCTATGTACACAATGTCACGGAACATTTAGTCTTGCTTAGCTTGATTCAATCGGTTACTCTTCTATTTTTCATTTACTCTTTTTCTCCTCAAATACATAAGGCAAAGTAGACACTTGCCTTATGTATTTTTCCTCCACTTGACAAAAGTCGGAGCTACCTTTGTCAAGTTTTGTCATTTTTCCCCAGCAGTCACTAGCGATGGCTGGGGGTATAGGCCATTGTCTTGCTCATCATGAGAAAATATCCATGGAGAGGCTCCTGTGTGAGTGAGCATACAGCACCGACGGCTTCTGGCAGATGAATAGCCAGGATCAGAAGACGACCTACTAGATGAAGATGGCAACTGGATACCAAGCTGCAAAGTCACTTTCCAGGGTCTTTGCAAATTATGCGTAGACCCCAAAGGTGACAGAGACACTTTAATGTCACATCAATCATCAAGCGCAAGATAGCTGATATAACTGCGCTACAATGATAAATATCACTTGTTCAAAATTGCATTAACAAATTGTTTTCAAAATGTAATCAATGAGCTATTTTATTTATTGATTTTGTTAATTTATTTGCACAGTTATGACATTTGCTAACCATGTATTATTTGATTAATAAACAACTGCAAGCACTAAATGTAGTAATTCATTATTTATTAATTATTTTTTAGCAATTTAGTTTCTATTTTTTTTTTCAAATTACCCAACCTGCAGCATCACTAGAAATTGTAACATACATTGTAAACTGTTTTCTTTAGTTACAGTTCAACAACTGACTGCTAACCTGTTACAATATAAATAGCAACAGGTGTCCGATAATTACCGAATATTGGAAAATAATGAAAAATAGGAGATAAAACAGGCTTAGAAAATCTATATTTTATTCAAGAAAATTCAGATTTGAAACAGATCTACTGTGGATGTGACATGAATTCTACATAGACATACTATTAAATAGAAAACAAAAAGCACTAAAATATTAAATTGTACAAGAGTACAGCGCTTTTTACCCACAAACACATTGCACCATTTCCTGCTCTCAACTTGCATCACTGTGTGTTGCCATTTCTTTCAATCCATTAGTCAAATAGGATTTTGTACTGAAGATTGATATAATCGTCCTAGTCCACAGGGAAACATATGTTACTTTGGAAAGTCATAATGTCCGTGCAAAATAATTGTTAATAGACTAATGCAAATGCATTTTTCTTGCTTAGAAGTCAAGAGCTGCTCCACACACAGGCACTGAGCCAGTGTGGAGCCATGTTCAAAGTGATGGAACACAATAGATGCAGTTCTGGCAAGATACAGCATTGTAAATGGCGTACTATTATACAGAGGCAACTCTTAAAGTAACGGTCATATAATGTAATAGATATATCTACTATCTATTTACTTTAAACGGACAATGTATGCACCTTAACCATGTCAAATCATTGACATGGTTGTGGTGCATGGAGTCCTCAGTTGATTTAGTTTTAAAGGGACACTCTAAGCACCAAAACAACTTTAGTGAATGTCATTGCAGTCTCACTGCGCAATTCTCTGCCATTTAGGAGTTAAGGCACATTGTTTATGCAGCCCTTGCCCCACTTCCCTCCCCGTGACTCACATATCCTACCTGCATACTTCCTGTAAAGAGGCATCTAATGTTTAAACTTCCTTTATTTACAGTGTGTTTCATTTCAAATTTATGATCTCTGATTTATGAAATTAACTGAAAAAAAATCTCTAAAGTAAACACACCATGCTGTAAGATCTGATTGAAACATAAAACTTTTTTTTTCTAATGCAGGTTGTGAGAGTCTTAGCCAGATGAGGTGTGGCTAGGGATGCCATGGTCTATACACCCAAACTGCTTTAAGCAAAAGTTGGTTTGGTGCTTATTGTATCCCTTTAAATAATTTTTTAATGGTACCCGCAATCGACCTCCTGTGAGCTAATGGGTAAGGCATAGTTGTGCACCACCTTACACCGCCACCTGACACCATACCAAAGACAGTGAGCAGTCACAGGCTATAAGCATCAGTTGAGCTCTCTAACTCTAATTTACCTCTATATGAGGAGGTTGTGATGCGGGCTCTCTGGACCGTAATTCACTGTCACACCATTTGAAAACAGTTTAACAATGAACTGAGGGATGGCATTTAGTGCCATTTAAATCCTAATCACTACATGTTATGCCATGTGATGATATAATGTGCATTGCTAAAATGATATAATATTAATTCCTGTTAAATGTTATATTATTATATAATAATGCATGTATATTTATATACCTACCTATCTTTACCACAATCTCTCTGCTCCTCCTATACTGTAAGTTCAGTGGAATGCTTAGCACAGACACGTTGGCACTGTCTCAAATACAGATACCTATATTCTTTATGCTTTAAATACACTATATCTACTTTATAGTGACTAAAAAGTTTACGTGTTTATGAAAAAGATTTTAAAAAACCCACTGCAGTTAAAATGGAATCCTTGCTTTGAGGCCACTGTCCCGCTTTGGCTGTTGACGATATACTGGCTGCTCACCAGTTTTTGGGAGTCGATGTTGAGCTAACAAAAGCTGAGCTGAAGTTAAAACATAACCATTATTACTCTGGCAGCTGGACAATCACTTAATATTAGTAACAGCTATAATTTGTCTTGTAAAGTCATGTGAATAATACCAAAGAGAAATGACCTTCTCCTCCGTCTCTTCTCTCACTAACATATTTACACTGTTCTTCAACAATGGAATACAACCTTTATTCATTACAAAGAGGCTTATTTGTTCTTATTTACCTGATTACGTTTTGCAGTGACATTTTTATTCATAAAATGATTTATTTATAAAATATTTTACCAAGAAACACCATTAAAAAACCATTTAAAGTTGTTGGAGGTTTACTACGCTCAGAAATTAGTTTTTATATCCTGTCTGTCTTTCTTTCTGTCTGTCAATCTATCTGCCTCTTTCTCGACCTATAGCATATACATCAGAAGTCTAGAACCAGTAACTCTTTAAGTAGTTTAGAACGACAGCTCCCTTGAGGCCTGGGATGGTATTGTGTAGTTGTCATTCAACAGCAACTTCACATACTCTTAGTAATCATATTCCTTCGATGGCCTACAGAGATATAATCTAAATGAACTCCTTTTTTTGTACTATCAATGCATTCTTTAAAATAGTAAATGAAAATAAAATGTACTAACCCATGATACTACAACAATAAAGAAATATTAAAGTGTTTGGAATAAAAATGTGTATTCCTAATGATTTAATGTCCCTGTCTGTAATCATAAGGTTCCCCCACTGTCGTCATGGAAGAGTAGGCCCAATTCCCTCACGCAGGAACATTGGGGATCTGATGTGGTGAGTGCTTCGCACTTCAAATTGCCCATAAGGAATCCATTGAATAAAAGTTTTCCTGTGGGGGCCGAAGTCTAATTGAGTTTTATTAAGTTGCTGCAGCAGTAAGCGCCTCTAGGGGCTGTCAGTATGACCTACCTATTCAAACTTACGTTACCAGTATAATATTTATTTAGATATTGTATCATGCAGCGCTAATTCTATCTTTCTTGTAAACATATGTTTAACACTTTTGTTTTAAAATTGTTTAAATGATACTTAACCATTCCCAAAAAGGAGCAAAAGGCTTTTCTGCCCTAGAGTAGTTTAAATATTTTCTTTGATTCTTAAAATAAGGGTATCAAGATTTACCTCTGAAAACCCAAAATGTATTTTTTTTTTTTTTACTGAGTGTGCAGCTATAAGTTAAAGGGACACTGTAGGCACCCAAACCACTTCAGTTAATTGAAGTGGTCTGGGTGCTGTGTCCCTTTTGCACTTAGTGCTGCAATGTAAAACATTGCAGTTCCAGTGAACTGCAGTGTCATTCAGTTCCAGCACCAGACAGTCACTAGAGGGCTTCCGGAATCCAAACAGACTTTTGGTCCGTTATCTGACACTGGACGTCCTCACTCGGCAGGTCTAATGCGAACGCGGCCATTGATGCGCATGAGCAAACGTGGGCGGAGCCTGACCCAGCGCCAAGGGAGATCGGCACTGGATTCAGGTAAGTGGCTGATAGGGTTTTAACCGCTTCAGCCCCGCAGGAGGGGTGACCTAATAACCCTATAATGCCAGGAAAACGGCTTTGCTATAGGATACCTTTAAATATATATATTCATTGTTGTTTAATTTAGACAAATATCTGTTCAGTTCACAATTTTAGGAGCCAGCTAAAATGTTATTTAGACAAAGATTAGGTGAATGGTGTATACATTATTTAATTGTTGCATAGAAGAGAAAATCTAACAGGAACACTTCATGGATATGTATCAAATGCTGTCAACCAGTCAAAACTGTCATATGGATTCTTTCTACTTATTTGGTAGTGTACATTAGAAAACAGGGAAGGTAGATATGCTTACTTCTCTCTTCAGCACCTCCATCATCTTCTTCAGCTAAGTCTTCATCGAATGTGCCACTGGTGTATTCTTATGAATAACCTAAAGTGCAAAATGTGGGGCATTACAAGTGAGAACCTCCACAGGTAATCTTGTGAACGCACTATAAGACACCATAAACTGCACTCCTTGGCAGTTACCTAAGAAATATTAGGCCCTGATTTTCTTTTGATTTAATTAATTACGGCAATGTATTCACTCTGTCTTCATGAGTTTTTCACAAGAGTGCCGAACTGAAATCTCTTCGTAAGACATACTATCAGCAATGTTTGTTAAGGATTTAATAAAAAACATGCACCATTTTTTCCTCATGCAATGCGCCTAAAGTATCCCTGGTGGTGCTCTCTGCCCTTAATGGGTAATTCCATCGACCGTGGTACTCCTCTACATCATGTATGTTTTCAATGTTTTATATTTGTCTCTTATGGCCTTTCTTCCCTTGCTTATGTCAATGTTCATTAACTAAGACTGCTTGAACAGCTGTACACCAATTGCGAGTTGATACATGTACAGCTATAAATAAAGGAATAACTTAAAAATATATGTATTTTTCACTTTTATAAAAGGTATTCCTTGTTAATTTACTTTATAGACCCCCTTTTTTTTCTCAGTGCGATTAATTTCTCTAAAAGAACAACATTGTCCGAGAAAAGAGACATTAAAGGGGCACTGTAGTTTTGCACCTTTCCCATCCAGAATAATTGGATTTTAGAATTAAAGCTGCTGGATAGAACCCTTCTACAGTACTGACTTCATTCAAATTGTCAAATGTATTACTTGACACATTGGTCCCATTCTCTGTGCTTGTCTACAAGGATTTCTATATTTGTAATGGCATTAAAATGGATCAGTACTGTTTTTAGCATAGTACAAGGAGGGATCGTTTCCATTGCCAAATATGTTTATAATATATTTATCTGCAGTGTAAGCTTGATTGATACATTCACGCATTCCACACAAAAGTTACCATCAGTGGTTGACGCTGACTCCAAACATACTGATTATATAAACATAAAGTGACTGATAGTGATGTCCCGAACCGTTCGCGAACTGTTCGCCACGAACGGTTCACCATGGACTCCAGTCAGCTGACACATTGCAGCCAATCAGCAGCAGACCCTCCCTCCCAGACCCTCCCACCTCTTGGACAGCATCCATTTTGAAGCTGCATTCTTAGTGAGCTGTCCAGGAGTTTGGAGGGTCTTGGAGGGAGGGTCTGCTGCTGATTGGCTGGAATGTGTCATCTGACTGGAGTCCGCGCGAACCGTTCGTGGCGAACCGTGGCGAACAGTTCGCGAACAGTTCGCGAACAGTTCGGCGAACAGTTCGGGACATCACTAGTGACTGACATTGCTTATTAGCTGGGGTGACAACTGAATCAAAGAATCAATAAAAACCACTGGTATTGTTCCTTAGTAACTAACAACAAATGCTATTTTCAAACTTCTTTCTACATGATATTTACTGATCAGCCACAAAATCAAAACCACATACCTAATATCGTGTAGCTCCCCCGAGTGCTGATACCTCGAGGCATGGACTCCACAATACCTCTGAACGTGTCCTGTGGTATCTGGACATTAGCAGCAGATCCTTTAAATCCTGCAAGTTGTGAGTGAGGCCTGCGTGGATCGAATTTGTTGTTCCAGCACATCCCACAGACGCTCAATCGAATTGAGGTTGCTACAACCACGGGTTGCTACAACCAAAGCAATCTCATCTTTGTAAATGGTTTGCCTCTTCCTTTATGTATCTTGACCCCTTTGTCAAATCACACTTATTTTTTTCTACTTCTGGACTTATTTCCCAACTACATATAGCTGCTGTATTCACTATACTTCATTGTATTACCCTAAAACCATTTTAATTCTCCCCAATGCCACTGTCTTCCCAATGATGAATTTTCCTTCCCTTTGTATTTCTCCCCCAAAAGCCCCAACTGTCATAGATCATACTCTCCATCTAAAATGCCATATACCCGCACGTCTATAAATCATATTCCTCATTGTAGTATTTTTCCTAACCTTCCCATAACCATATTCCAATTTCACATAGATATATCCCCCTAAAGGTATATAGACTGAATTAAATATAGCCATGCTCTATATTTGTTATGTTTGATACATGTTTACACTGCCTTTCTATGTTTATATTATCTCCTATTGCATTATATTGTACCTGCACATGGTTATATTACGCTCCCATGCTGTCTACTGTGATTTTAAATGTACTACTAATTGTACTACTCAGTTCTTCAACAAAAAAAGCCTAATTTTTTATTTGATTTCCAACAGCAGTAATAATGATCAGGTTTAAAGAATAGCCCGAGATAAAAGAAAATAATGGTATTTGAAACTATTTTAAAGGTCAATGTCATCTAAAAATGTAATAACCTGATTTTAAAGAGCTATATTATTTTAATCTATGCATTCTACTTGCCAACTTCACTGTTTTTTTTGGAGAAGATGCAGTTTGCTTGTCTGTGCTTTTTGCTTTGATCTTTTTATAACGGCTTTGTCACCAAATCAAACATTTTCAGTATTTAATAAACAGAATCTCTATGAAATACTCCCATTGACTGTGCTGGCATTTCATTGTAATGGCAATTACGTCAAAAGATATCGTAAGACAATGTAGGGTCTAGTTTGCATTAGCTTAAAGTTGACAGGATACGACAAATGGAGCAGCTTTAACTATCCAGGTTAGCTATAGATGGCTTTTGGAATCCGGCTTATTCTCGAAGACTGCAAGCCTTGTGGGATTATTCACTAAAGTCCAAATAGCCCCTGCATATGGGACCATTTGAACTGCAAAATACAGACATGCTAAGTCAACTAACCCATCCTGTCGCATGGCATCCTGTCATATGGAGTTATAAAACTCTCTTATGGTAATTTGGGGGTCTTTTTGAAGCCCATAGGCTTGTTAATCAAATATTCACTTTTTGGCTAGCAATCACTGGCCAGACCACATAATTAACCCTTGTGCTGCCAAGTGCTGTTTACTTTTTTTTAAAAATTCTTTATTTTTGTATTGACAGGTATTTGGTAAGGTAGCACTGTTGGCTTGCACAGAAGCCGAGTCATCAGCATTCCATTGGGTTTGGTTTGCAGAAAAGAAGGTTAGTTAGTCAATGGTCAATGGTCATTGTACACAGTGATACTATCGACTGTGTGGCCTGCGCAGAAGCCATCATATGTTGTAGAATTCTGTTTTGACTGTCAGAGTTTTCCTTGTGTAAGAATGTAATAACATAAACGAAATAATATATACAATGGTTAAAGTAAATAACAGAGAATTCTATGAAGTTCAAAAGTATAACCATGAGTTGCACGAGTGAGGAGTTATGTGTGAGTGAGCGCTGATTCTACTTGTATTTATTCGTCAAATTGTTCCCACAGGGCCCATACCTTCTGGAACGTGGCGATGGTATTGCGGACCTGGGCCATCATTTTGTCCATTAAATAATTGTCTCTTATTTTGGACAGTACTAGGGCGAGTGGGGGTGTTTCTGGCTTTATCCAGTATTGTGCTAATGCCCTCTGAGCTGCTAAGTTAAGCATGTTCAGTAGTCTTTGGTCGTGTTTGTCTAGTCCGTCCGTGGGTCGTGACAGTAGGCAAGCCCAGGGATCTAGTGTCAGTCGCCATTGAAAGATTCGAGAGTTCAAGTCTACTACTGTTCCCCAGAACTCTTTTACTCTGGTGCAGTGCCACCACATGTGAATGTATGTGCCCTTTAATGCATCTAGACCAGGGGTGTCAAACATGCGGCCCCCCAGATGTTGCTGAACTACAACTCCCAAGATTCCCTGGCTATCTGTTTCATTGAAAGAATCATGGGAGTTGTAGTTCAGCAACATCTGGGGGGCCGCATGTTTGACACCCCTGATCGAGACCATCACAGTGAGAGTGCTGTACTCTGGCACATGTGCCACAGGATTCACCGTACGCATACAGGTTTATTCCAATCTCTTTAGGAAAGCTTATGGCCGCCCAGAGTGACCTCTACCTCACATACCTGTCTCTTGCTGTCTCCTAAAGGGCAGCACTCTACTCTCTCCTCCAGCTCTGCTTCACTCCCACCTTATTTGATTGCTATTTCCTGTCCTATTGTGTTTTATACCCCACCTCCTCTAGACTGTAAGCTCGTTTGAGCAGTGTCCTCTTCAACCTATCGTTCCTGTAAGTTTTCTTGTAATTGTCCTATTTATAGTTAAATCCCCCCCTTTTCTAATATTGTAACGCACTACGGATTCTGTTGGTGCTATATAAATGGCAATAATAATAATTATTATAATAATAATAATTCACTGAATATCATATTCTGTCTGCATGGATGAAATCCAATGATAATTACCAAATTCTAACTGCATTGGAAATGCTTAGATTTACTAAAGACAAATGTGGTCAAAATTTGGTCAGCCCAAGAGAATTGTCAACAATCTCCTGGATACATTTGGTGCCAGGATTAAAATTGGTGCTTTCTCTTCCAAATCCTATACAAAGTAAGGCTCGGGAGGTGTTACAGAATATGTGCCGTATGGCTCAAATATGTTCATTAGATGAAAAAATCCACATATTGCCATATTAAAAGCTAGTCTATTACTATAGTAAGTCTGCATATTATTTTATCATTTAGTAAAAGGTTAACATATTCTTATATAAATCATCAATTTAATATTTAAAAGGGCTTATTAAATGGCATCATTATTTTTTTAAAGTCATATAGTTGCAGTCTTAAATTATTCTGCAAAACTGATAATTTTTTCTTGTGTTAATGTACTATTATACTGTATCAAATTGATTAAACCTGTACTCTAAAAGGGGCAAGCTAGGCACCATAACCACCTCATTATAGCCATCCCGTTGCTAAACTGTTTACAAATGGGTTGGCAATTACCTGAGCCCCCTCTGTTCCGCCCTCCTTTTCTGATATCATTAAAGGATCACTAAAGTGTGAGGAAAACAAAGTGGTTTTCCTGACACTATAGTGCTCTGAGGGTGCCCCCACCCTCAGGGTCCCCCTCCCGTGGCGCTGAAGGGGTTAAAACCCCTTCAGCAGCTTACCTTAATCCAGCGCTGGGCTCCTTTAGCGCTGGTGACCTCTCCTCCCCCTTCGACGTCATGTCCCCCGTCCGACGTCAGCGGAGCCAAATGCGCATGCGCGGCAAGTGCCGCGCGCATTCCAAGTGTCCATAGGAAAGCATTTCCAATGCTTTCCTATGGACGCTCTGCGAGATGGAGGCATAATATGAAGACAGTCATATTAGCCTCCAGAAGACAGTCACTAGAGGCTGGCTTAACCCCAAATGTAAAACATAGCAGTTTCTCTGAAACTGCTATGTTTACATCTGAAGGGTTAAAACCTGAGGGACCTGGCACCCAGACCACTTAATTGAGCTGAAGTGGTCTGGGTGACTATAGTGTCCTTTTATCCCCTTAAGGACACATGACATGTGTGACATGTCATGATTCCTTTTATTCCAGAAGTTTGGTCCTTATGGGGTTAATAGGGAAGTCCCTACCTCCACGTTAGTGGCTTTCATTTTTCTCACATTTGAATGGAATTCATTGGCTGAGAGCATATGTTGTGAAGGGGGAACATCAGCATCAGATATGTGAGAAAAGGTGGCCAGAATGAAGACACCAGAGGGAACCCAGGTAAATGTTAAACCATTCGAAAATGGTTTGACTACTAACTGTGAGACAGCACCAGGAGACTCCTGGAACCATTATCAATGTGGTGTGCTGGAGTGGCTATAGTGCCTAGACTGTCCCTTTGGATTTTCTTTTTTCTTTTTTCTTGAGAATGTAAAACTTCCTCATGCAGTGACAATATACTTTTTGAAGAATTAGTTATATTATGAGTGTAATACTTTGGAATTATTTATAAAGAACAATTCCAAACAAAATTATAAAAGTGGTGCAACTCTCATTGAAACCAACCAAATGAATGTTCCTGCTGATTGCTTCACGTTTTTTGTACTTTCACATAACTGCTCTTTATAATGAAGCCCTTGTTTTGTTTCCAGAGCAACATTTTGTTTTTAATAGATAAAACAAGGCATACGATACTGATTCAAAAATAGAACATATTACAACAATACTGAGAATTTAAAATGTATATCAAGATTTGTTTCTGTGTATGTCCTTACAGTCCAGAGGCATATTATGCATACAAACAAACACACACACACACACAGACACACACACACACAAAATCACACACACATATATATATAT